CTGTCCACATTGAAGCTATAGAATTTTCCTTTCCTTTCTGTCTGAATTCAGACCTTGATAAACATAAATGAGTCTTCATAACAGGAAAAAGAAGGACAGTTGGGTCAAGAGTAGGACAGTGTTTACAGGGAAAGACCATCTGTGCCTCAATATCCTTTTTCATATTGCAGCCCTTCACATTGATGGAAATCATGGCTATCTGCTTTATTTCCACGCAGGTCTTCTCACCAAGTTAACACTGAGTAAAGAACAGAAGGAAAGCCAGGCATGGTGGCGCACACCTGTAATCCCAGCAGTAGGGAGGCCGAGGCAGGAGGATCACTGGGTTCAAGGCCAACCTTGGCTACATAGTGAATTCAAGGTCAGCCTGAACGGCATAGCAAGACCATGTCTTAAAAAATGCCATTTTGGGGCTGGGGATTTAGCTCAGCAGCATAAGCGCTTGCCTTGCAAGCACGCAGTCGTGAGTTCGATCCCCGGTACCGATAAAAAGGAAAAAGACAAAAAAAAATGCCATTTTGTCGTGATTGATACAACTTTGTGATTAATAGTGGGATTGCGGTAGATTGTAATTTTGTTCCTTTCTCAGAGTTGTTTAGACTGTTTTGAGTCTTCTGTATTTCTACAGATGTAATAATCAAAATGTTAATTTTTATAAAAAATGATGTTGGCATTTTGATAAGGGATTGTGTTTTCTGATCTTTATTATTTTCTATTTGTTTTTGGTTTTATTCATTTCTAATTTCTTAAGGAAAGATAGTATATTTCATAACTTTCTTTTCTTCTAATAAGTGTACTTCGTGTACACATATATATATGTATTAAATATATGTATATGTAAAAAATATATGTATATAGTGCAGAGGAAGGACTGTATGCAGAGACATTATTGTGAGAGGAGAGACTTACTGAGCAATGTTCAGTGAGACCACGTTTCACAGAGCCGAGATGAATGAGGCAGGAGGCCTCTGAAGATTCAGGCAGGAGCTAGACCTGCAGGCTTACAATTGCTGTCAATGATCATGTGTGTCTTCTAAGATCAATGGGCTCAGGCAGGGAGGTAACATCAGACTTACGAAGTACAGAAGATCCTCTGGCTGTGGTGTGGAGACAGTATATCCCTAGAAAACCACTTAGACCTTTGGAGTTGAGCAAGAAATAATGGTCACTATAAATAGCTTTCTGTCGATGGAGAGAAGTAGACCAAGTATAGAAATGCTTAGAATTTATGGTTGAAAGTCAGCCAGATATGGTGACGTGCTGGTTAAATGGAGGAGGAAGGAAGGAGAGAGGAACGGCCAGGGTGGTTCTTAGTGTTCTGTCCTGCTGGGTGGTTATAACTTTCACTGAGATGCCTGACACTGGCAAGAGAATCTGACTGACGAGGGAAAATACAAGTCTGATTGTGGTCTTGCTGAATTTGAGGTGCCTTTGACCGTCAAAGGAGAGCTTGGTAAGAGTTGGCTAAAGAGGTTTGAAAGAGTTAGAAATGTGGGAGTCATGAGGAGTAGGTAATTTCGAAGCTCTGGTTGCAGATAGACTGTGCAAAGTGAGAATGTGGAGTAAGAAAAGAGCTTGAGATCACGCTGTGAGACACGCAGCGGTCAGTGGGTCAGGTAATGAAAGGATGGGAGAATCATCTGGAGAGAGGGAGAAGAGGGCGGGTGAATGGGAGAGCTTTGCGGAAACCACTGCCTGGAGTGAGTGATGAAAATGAGTGTCAGGGAGGGACTCCTGGCACAGCGGTGCATGTGCAGAGAGAGGCCCGGGACGTGAGAGCGTATGTCTCGGCTGGAGATTGCCTACGGAGAGTGACAGGGCGTTAATCTTAGCACAGATGAGGCACCAGATCATGAGCGTTGAGTGCCGTGCCCACGTAGATACAGATTTGTAATTTACTGATAGCAGTGCTTTGCAGCTTACCTGTAGAAATACTGTTCTTAATGGTAGAAGACAGTAAGTGTGAACTCTCTTGAGAATATAAACTTTTTCTCAGATCTCATATTTTATTTTAAAAATCCAAATTATTTTGTATCCTAGCCCATAATACTTTTGCTTATCTTTCCTTGTGAAATGTCTTGGATAATTTTACACTGGGAAAAAGGAAGTCCAAAGATACGAACCTTGTTAATGTTGTGCTTTGGGTAGCACTTGCCCTTCACCAGGTCTGTGCTCAGCCCATATTTGGGTGTCTGCTGATGGTGAGCAGCCGCCCGAGGAGGCCCACCATGACCAGGCTGAATGTGGGAAGAGTAAGCTGGCTCTGCACCCATGAGTTCAGCCCATTGTGGATCAAATGTTTGGGAAGAAAATTTCTTCTTACTGAATAGATGTGGACTTCTTGTCACATTCTGAATAATGTAGTATAAAAACTATGTGGCATTTATATTTCGTGGGAAGTATGAGTAACCTAGCGATGATTTCAGATGTATACTTAGGGTATGTACACGTCGGATGCAAATACGACACCATTTTGTGTAAGGAACGTGAGCATCTACAGGGCCCCAGAGCCACTCCCCAGGGAGACTGAGGGATGGCTGTAATGACACAATGGAGGATGGCTGGGAGGTGGGGAAAACCATAGACAGGAGGCTACCAGAGTGGTCGGGTAACAAGTAAGGAAAGCTCAAACTTTAAGCGTTGAGGACATGCAGATTTAACATGGTTTGAGTGGCTTGAGCCACCAGTGGAACATGCATGACTGCCCTTTGGGCAGCTTGTACTACTGTGGTACACACAAATCTCATCACCTTTATTGGTCTTTTTACTAATAAAAATAATACAAAGTTGTCAGATAGGACAGTTATGCATGTTCCAGCAGTGAGTGAGTCAGGCTGCCTGGTAGCAAGGTACACCTTAAGGCTGCGCTGTGAACGTGTTAAGAAGTAGAGCTGATAAGACTGGCGACCTCGCAGAATGTGAAACACAGTGGAGAAGGAAGGAGCACTTCCAGATGAACCCCTTGCTTGGGCACTGGGACTGCGGAAGAAGCAAACTGGCTGTGCAGCTGGGGACGAAGGTCCTTTCCTCCAGGCGCACTGAGCCAAAGAGCTGGGCTGCGGTGGCACTGAGGAGGTGGTGCAGTTGTCAGCACAGACCTTTGCTGGAAAGAGAGTGCAGGGCAGTGGGAGAGAGAGCAGCCAGTGCAGGATGTTGAGCAATATGTAAAGGAGGGGAGAGGGAGAAGTAAAAAAATGTTGTGGAGTCTTTGGAGAGAAGAAGGAAGAGATTGGAGAGGGACACAGGAGGGTATCAAGACTATAGAGACGTAGCACACCCAGTGCTACAGAAGTCAGTGCGCGCAAGTAGTGCCTGAAAGGCATCCGGGACATTTTCTGAGGGAGCAGATTTAGAAGGCGTACGGTGGACTGAGCTGAACTGAAAGTGACAGCAAGTGCACTGGACCCCGCTGTCAAGACACTGAGCACAAAGGAGATGGCAGGGAGTAGTGTGCCAGAAGAAGATTCAGGCCTCTGAGGGTAGTCATCGGAAGTGTAATGGTTTGTTTCTCAGCTGAGGGTAGAAACATATTCATATGCCTAGAAGAGCCTTATGGGGGAAGAGATTGAAAAGATGAGTATAAAGCCAACCGCCTTACAACACAGGAGGTATATCTAAGAGTATTTCTTCAATGAATGGTTGCTTACTGTTTGACTGCACAATCTCAGTTTCACAGATGGAGTTTGTGTCTTTGAGCTACATGTTTTTGTGTACTTAATCATGTCTTTATTAATCTTTGGGGACATATGTGTTATTTTTTAGCCTCAGAATATTCTGCTCACCAGTGAATCTCCATTGGGTGACATAAAAATAGTTGATTTTGGCCTTTCAAGAATAATGAAGGACAGTGAAGAGCTCCGGGAAATTATGGGGACTCCTGAATATGTGGGTGAGTATTCTATGGTTTTCTGTTGGAGATAGGAATCACCTTCATTAAGGAGTTCACATGTGGCCTGCTTCATAAGGCCTTTGCAATATTGAAATTCTACCACTGGAGATTATAATTAAATCTAAAAATTGGTTTAAGGATGGAAAACTTTCAAGAGTAAGGTACCAAACTGGTGATCCTCTTCATACAGGGCTAAGAAAGTTTGTTTTTAAATTTTTACTTGATTTTTTTTAAAAAACCTTTTTGTTTTGCTGCTGGGTATGTAGCCCCAGACCTTGTACATCCTAAGCAAGACATGAGTAGGAAGCTCAGCATGTAGTTCAGTGTAGAGTCTTTGTCTAATACATGCAAAGCCCTGTGTTCAGCCCCCAGCACTGCAAAAGGCAGGCAAAGGAGCAGAAGACCAGGAAAGGCCTCTGAAGATGTGCCAGCTGGTAATAAAGTAATTACAATCCTGGGGCTCCAGACAGTGTGAAGCAGAGCGGGCCTTTGGGATCATCGTGCCAAGTTGAGGTCACTGGCAGAAATAGCAGATAAACATAGGAGAGTGATGCGCCATGGGTCTAGTTTGGATAAAAAAGAATTAAATTATTACCTTTTCTGACTGACCAGAAGAAAGTTGGAGTTTGAAGGAGTAATAGTTTGATTGATTTAAAAATGAAGCATAAACCTACCGAATGATTTAGAAGTTATGACCAGAGAAGCATCTCCTGGTAGTTACGGGCTTTGGCCATAGGTCGGAAAGGCAGCCCTTCGGGCCAGGGGCCCAGAGGCCCTGGTGGGGGCTGTGAGAGTCCTGTACATCAGTGGGAAGTTGCCCAGAGGGCTGGCAGATGTGAGAAGGAAGGATGGCTGTGGCCCGAGGGCTCATGAAGAGCAAGAGGCTGGGGAAAGCAGGACTCCTCTCATAATGGGGGACAAGGGGCAGTGCTGGAACAGGAGCTGAGGATGTTGAGGATTCGTTTCCAAGAAGAGAAAATTTCAGAGGACTCAAAGACAAATTTGGTCAAAGAAAACAAAGCTATTGGGCAATGACTGTACAATAAATAAGTATTAAAGTCTTGCAGTTTCAGGTATATCCAAATTCAACAGATTAAAAATAAGGCATAGCCCATATCAAGTTGGTTTTATTCCAGGGAGGAAAGGATCATTCAGTATACTTGTACAGAAATCACTAAACATAAAATGCCACATAAATAGAATCAGGGATAAAAATTCCATGGTCATCTAAATTGAAGAAAACCTTCCCAGCCATGGTGGTGCATACCTCTAATCAGGGGAGGCTGAGGCAGGAGGGTCACCACAAGTCCAACGCCAGCCTGGTTTACATAATAAGAGCCTATCTCCAAAAAAGAAAAAACCTGATTAAAATATAGCAATGTTTCTGTACGCCCATAATGAAATAGGTAAAGAAAAGAAACAAGAACCATTCATGATGTCTTTAAAAAACAAAACAAAACCTTAGGGATCAGTTAACCAAGGAAGTAAAAGATCTCCATGATAAAAACTTGAGAACAATAAAGAAAGAAATTGAAGACAACACCAGGGGGTGGAAAGCCCTCCCATCTTCCTGGATCTATCGAGTTAATATCTTTTAAATGTCTCTATCTCCAAAAGTAACCTACAGATTTCATGTATTCCCCAGTAAAATACTAGCAGCATTCTTCACAGAACTAGAAAAAAATAATCCTGGAGTTTGTATGTGGAACAGCAGATACCCAGAGTAAGTAGAACACGGTTGTAAGCAAACAGAGCAAGGCTGGAGCAGTCACAGCACCTGATTCCACGTTACATACGGAATCACACCAGCCAAGCAGCATTGTAGGATCCAAACAGTAGATGCGTGGCCCGCCGAACAGACTGGAGACACAGGCACAGACACCCACACAGCTGCAGCCACCTGATGCCAGACAGGGAGCCACAGTGCGTGGTGGAGAAAAGACAGGGCCAGGGAGCCTGGGTACGTGTTGGAGGAGACGGAAGTTAGACCTGGGTCTCATTTTTATGAATGTCCATTTAAAATGCATCAAACACCACAGTGTAAGACCTGAAATCGTGGAACTCCTGTGAGACACAGAGAAAGCTCTGAAGCCATAGCCCCAGGCAGAGATTTCCCGGATAGGACTCCAGGAGCATGGGAAGTAATAGCAGGAATCAACCAGTGTGACCACTTCAAATCAAAAAGTTCCTGTAGGAGAGAGAACTAACAAGTGAAATGACAGCCTCTAGAATGGAAGAAAAATCTTTATCAGTAGGTTCCAACAGAGGATTAATAACTAGGAAAAAATACACCCTTGTTTATTATTTATGTCTTAGTAAACTTAACCCCTGAGAGTCAGCCCAATCCATTAATAGGCCAATGAATTGAACACTTTTCTCTAAAGCCGTATAAATGGACAATAAAAACATGAAGAAATGTTCAGCAGTTTTAGCTATTAGAAAAATGTAAACCAAAACTACACTGAGATTTTGTCTTGTCCCAGTAGAATGACTGTCATTAAAAATATAGAACACATGGAGCTGGAGGTTTAGCTCAGCGGCATAAGCACCTGCCTTGCAAGCAGGCAGTCGTGAGTTCAATCCCCGGTACCGATAAAAAAGGAAAAAGACAAAAAAAAAAAGTTAAAAAAAATAAATATATAGAACACAGCCTGGTGTAGTACACCTAGCAGACTCTTGGCGCTCTGGAAGCCTGAGGCAGGAGAATGCCAGTTTTGAATCTAGCACTTCACAAGACCTGGTCTAAACAGGGACGAGTCTTGTAACTCAGTTTGAAAGCCCTGAGTTGAGTTCGGTCCCAGGACTACAAATGAATGAATGCACGCCAGACAAGGAGGGCAGGAGCAGTTTGTGAGAATGTAGGGCTTGTGCAGCCCCTAGGGAAATCAGTACTGAGGCTCCCCGAAACCTAAAAACAGAGCTGCCATTTGATTGGCTATTCCGCTTCTTGATACCTGCTGTAGGCTGTCTGTATGCCTAGTTTTGGCACAGTTAGAAGCCGTGGGAGCAGCCTTGGTCCCCACAAACGGAAGAATGGAGAAGGAAAATGTGGTCCATATGCGTGATGGAGTCGTACTTGCCATAGGGAGTATTTCGTGGTTTGTGGGGTGAAAGAAGGGGGAACGAGAGACACCGTGTTGAGTAAAGTAAGCCACACTGGGACTGGTGGCGGGGTCTTCCTAGTACGCGGAATGTTACACAACAAAGGTAGAAGGGAGATTATTAACAGGTGGAAGAGAATGAGGAAGGGGGCCGGAATGGAGCACAGACATCAGAACGTGTCACAAGCCCAGTACTTAATAAAATGGGTACATTTCAAAAATGACCACAGGGAGAGAAACCACCTTCGGAATTTAAGATTTTTTATGGGCTGGAATACCTAGTTTTCACTAGGCTAACGCACCTTCGACCTATAAGTAGGTTTTGGAAGTGACTTAGCATATATCTTGAGAGAACCGCACCCCAGATACGGGAGCCCCTCTGTTCTAATGCAGGTATCGTGGCAGGGAGCCGCCCAGAAGGCTGCAGGACAGGATTTGATAAGGAGTGGGGTTGGGGATTTGTTTTTATTAATGTTTTCTGCTTTTTGGTAAATCTAAATTTCCTACCAACCCCCTGCCCCAAACAATGCTTGATCCAAAAAAGAAAAAACACTCTGGAAACAGCCTTTCCTGGGGTGCCTTCCCTAGGTGAATTTCTGCTGCCCCCAGGCAGTCCTGGCTCTGCCACCAGCTTCAGTGATGTTGGTCCTTGTCTCTCTCAGTCACATTCCTTTGTCCAAAAAATGGAGCTGAAAACAGCACCTCCCACGTAGGAAGCCGATTTGCCATACAGAACTCCTAAGTTAGCCTTCCGCGCAGCGTGAGCACCCGGCATGTAAGGTGGGGTGCTTGTATACCTTCCCTTCCACCCTCTGGCCGGTGGCCTCCGTGTTACTTCCCCGCCTCAAGCAGCTTGGATGCTGTGCATTTCATGTTTAATTCCTTCGTTGTTTCTTTTAAAACTTCTGTAACGTTTCCCAGCCCAGCCGCTTCAGAAATCAAAGTTGAGGAAATTAGCACACCTGACATTTCCTTTCTGACCTCTTTCACCCTTACATTCAGTGGAAATTTGTCTCAGACCAGTAGTGTGAGTTTGAGTGCTCTAAGTTTTTCTAAGAACCTTTTAATTCCCTTCTTTTAATATTATTACCATGGTTTTCTAGTTGTTCATCTACTTTTACTTGGATTTGGTACTTACGGCCTTCTTATCATAGTTGGACACTTTTGAAAATAATCATCTTTGGTTGACTGGATTGTGAGTAGAGTTGATTTTGAGGAGAGTGGTATTTTTCCTGATTCTTTGGATATTTGCAAATGTCTCTTTGCTTTTCAATGAGACAGCAGTTTATGAAGTACGTGTACAATGATACTTCAGTTGTAGAACTCAGTTTGTTCCAAACTCATGTTTGAACACTGAAAAGTTTAAACACTGAACATATTTTTCCCATTAACAATGGAGAACCAAAAATTAGTTCTGAGGCCCAAAAATTACATGTAAATTCATTTTTCTAGGACTTTAACACGGTGCTAATAGCCTTTGGTTGTGGAAATACCCCCCTAAAACATCTAAATACAAGAAACACATTACATTAAATATCAAAACACAGTACAATGAATAAAATTTTTAAATTTTTGTATAGTACTTTTCACTTGATTTGGAGGCTTCCTGGTACACTGGAAGCTGGAGAAAAATCAGAGGAAGAGAAAAATTTTTTTTGGAAAGAGAGTCTCCTTCCATAAAGAACTTCTGGCACTAGACTTTCCAGGGTCTTTTGGTCTTTTTTTCACCAAAAATCTGAGTGAGAGCAGTGCTTAGACTGAAGCTTCCCCTTCGTATGCACAGCAAGATACGAGCTGTGACTTGGCCTGTGCAGGACTTTTCAAGGGGGTTTCAGTTTGACTGGAGTGAAGCTCCAGCACTGAGCAGGCTTTTTCAGACTTTGCTGTTCAGGTGGTGGAAAGTTCGAGCTTAGAACTGGCAGCAGTTGTGCTACCACTCGCTATGTTACTTTTCTCAGCAATACAGATGAGCTTTGTGATTCCAGTCTTCTGAAGATACCTAGGGCTTTTCATTTTTATAAATTTTATTTTCATTAGTGCAATTTGCCATATGTAATGATCACATTCATCATAAGGAACTTATACCTGCACGTAAGGAGTCTTTCTGCACTGGGCTTGGGCTGTGGGGATGGAGAGATAGGGATGCACTGGGCAGGATCTGAAAGCTGCCGTCTGATAGATGTGCTGGGTGATGGGAGGGAAACTGGGGGGAGAAAACGGTGCCAGAGTGTCTTTGTATGTTCCAGAGTTTTTGCTTTCAAAAATTTTTTTAGATACTAAGTCTCAACAATGAGAGTAGAAGTATTAAAAGTAACAGGTTAATTACAAATAGCTACTTAAGATTTTAATTCACCCAGCACTAGGGAGGCTGAGACAGCAGGAGTCCCGTGAGTGCTGGGCTAGCCGAGGGTACATAGTGGAGTTGAAAGCAGCCTGAACTCCATCGTGAGGTCCTGCCTCAAAAAACCAGGGAAATAAAAGGTTTTTCTATTCATATTAATTCATGATGTTATTTCATTTTAGGCAAAACCTTGGTAATAGTGATGTATAATTTCTAATGCATACTTTATTGTTTATCTAAGAGCAAATTAGGAAGTTTTTCCCCACGAAACTAAACATTTTCTTGTTTCTCCAACTAGCTCCTGAAATTCTTAGTTACGATCCTATCAGCTTGGCAACAGACATGTGGTGAGTGTTACTTACTAAAAGTCAGTGACATTAGTTCCCAGCAACGAATTTGGTACTAACTGCCCTCACACCTTCCTTCCACTCAGGAGCATTGGAGTGCTCACCTACGTCATGCTAACAGGAGTGTCGCCTTTCTTAGGCGACAGTAAACAAGAAACATTCCTGAACATCTCACAGATGAATGTCAGCTATTCTGAGGAGGAGTTCGATGGTGTGTCAGAGTCTGCTGTAGACTTCATCAAGGGCCTTTTACTGAAGAAGCCCGAGTGAGTATGAATTCTCCTCTTCATCTGTGGGGGGCCTGCCCCAGAGCTGCTCTCCCAGCCAGGCTCTGAGTGATCTGCTCTGAGCCAGAGTAGTTCAGCACCTAAACCACAAAGTAAGACATGATAGTATGGGCAGGAAACTAGATGAACCTCTTGGCTTAACCTGCCTGTCAAAGGAAAAACTGTCCAAAATGAACGTATGCCTAGAAAACGGGCCTGGGCCTCAGTCTGACAGGACAGAAATCAGTGAAACTGCAGATGCATCTCACAGTGCGTGGCACTGGTTACTGTGGGATAATGGAAATTGACGGTGAAATGACACCTGCTCCTTAGCAGCTGTTTCCTACCTGTTCTTGAGTGGCTCAGAACTCTGGAGAGAGACCTTAGTTACAGTCCTTTTTCAGCATTTTAGGGAATGCGCTCAAGTTCCAAAACTTTTGGTTTACTCAGGAAGCACAATAGGATCTTTGCCAACTCCTTATACTTTGAAAACTGTGGTAATAAATACAGGACCTAGTGCTCTGACTTCTCGGTTGAGGTTTAATGCTGCGGTGTGTGTGGGTGTCTTTACACAGAGACCGAGCCACTGCTGAAGACTGTCTCAGACACCCGTGGTTGACATCGAGCAGTGTTCCTAGTCCTTACAAGGTGAAGGGAGCAGTGGAAGCGGCAGACGTGCTCCAGGAAGGTGATTCTGCTGCTGAAATCAATGACGATGCTGAGAAGCCGGAATCCGAAGGATCACTTGTGACCGAGGAGTTAATTGTAGTTACTTCATATACTTTGGGACAATGCAGACAGTCTGAAAAAGGGAAAATGGAGCAAAAAGCCATTTCTAAACGATTTAAATTTGAGGAACCTTTGCTACAAGAAATCCCAGGAGAATTTATCTACTGAGCTGCGTCTCCCTTTAAAACTTTTAAGATTGCTCCGTTGAAATGTTAATATTATTTATGGACCTCTGGCCAAATGTATGTATACAGAAAATGGGTAGCCAGGAAAAACCAATAGGAAAAAAATAATTTTGTCAAACTTTTGGAGTTAAGTGCATCAAACCAGGTTTATAAAATTGCCAACCAAGGATTTGACAGGTAAAGCTATTTCAGTGTTCTTTTTAAGATGTTTGTACCTTTTAACATCCTGTTTCTCTAGAATGAGAACTTGTGTACAAAGATACTTGTATTTACTTTAAAAAGCCAAGTAAAAGTGCCAAAATTACACGTCCAAAAAATTTCTTTTGCATTATTTATGTATACCTTATAGCTACACGTATATATTTACTAAAACTGATACTTTTTCATTTTGGATTTACTTGAGAGGACAAAATTTTAATTTAAATAGATACCATTAAATTTTGGAGACTTAGCCAGACATGGTGGCACATGCCTATAAGCCCAGCGCTCAGCGCTCAGGAGGGGGATTGCTGCGAGTTTGAGGCCAGCTTGACCTGCATGGTGAGACCCTATATCAAAAAGACAAAAAAAAAAAAAAAATTGGAGACTTACAGTATATAACTGCTTTCCACTGAGTAGATTTGGTTTCTTACACTGTGTCTATTTTTCCTAATGCTTACAATTTGTCAGTGGCAGATTTTTTTTTTTTCTCTTCAGCATCATTCATAAGAGAAACGGTGATTTTTCATCCCTGAAATTATTCTGGTTCTTGTTCTGTCAGCCAGTGATATTGAAACACCTGTCTTTCCCCTCCTCATACCATCCTCGTCTACTTTCTTTCCCAAGCCACTTCCAGCCGCTTCCCTTCTGCCACCAATTTGTCCCTCAGTTGTAGTCACTTATAGATGTCACTGTGATCTGGTCAACACTGTGGTTGCTCTCGTCAGTGAAAAGAAACGATTGTTTTTGTCCCAAAGTTAATGAAACCTAAAGCAGAGGAGGAACAGATGTGACACACAATCGTGACTGTCAAGCCCGTGATCCCATTATTTCTTACAACCCTTAAGCTATGCTGGGAACAGTTACAAATTATAAACCTTTATTTTGTCCACTAAAAAACTGACATTGGATATTTTATCATTAGCCAAATACCTTATTCCAGAAGAACTTACTTTAGGCTGGGAGTGTAGCTGAGTACAAGTGTATATGTAAGGCCCTGGGTTTGGTCCCAGCACCAAACACACACACACACACACACACACACACAATTTGAGTAGGATCAGATTGACTGTTTCAGTGGCATGGAGACCCCACAGTGAATAGCCAGTTCCGGTTTAAATAGAAAATGGGAAAGTGTGGCTAGTAGCTTAAATCCTCCCCACACAGTAAAGCCAGAGGTTCCTGGGTGTGCTGTGTACACATCAGTGCAGCTGGTATATTACCTGTGTGTGTGTGCACACACCTGAGCCTTGCCTGTGCTCTGAACTGTGGGTCACACAAGGCTCTGCCCGTTATCTCAATGTGAAAATCACGGGGACGACAGCACCTGACCACAGTTCTAGGCCACGTGCAAGGTGCGGCGGTCAGCATTCACACACACGTGCCTGTGACTTGACCCTGTCCCCCCGCCACTGCGTAGGTGGCCGAGGCGGTGCAGTTGCACTATTTTCCTACGGAGTTGGCTTCCTTTGTGTAGCTCCTCAGAAGCAGCATTTCTAACAGGCTCTGAAAGGGGAAAAGGAAGCTCTGCCCTACTGGCAGAGCTTTCATTGAAAACCTGTGGCCACAACGTTGTCTCGGGTAAGTCCTAAATGCGGTTCCACTATTTGAGCCAAGTTCATATAAATAGCTCTTTGATAAAAAATAGGGGTAAATGCACTGGACTAAAATTGCGATGGGTCAAAGATCTAAATATTAAAACAAACACTAAATCTGCTGGAAGATAGAACAGGTAGAAGGAAGACATTGTTGTAGGCAAAAACTATGAACAAAACCCCAACCATACAGGACCTGTCACAAAGTTAACTGGGATCTCGTCTTACCAAAAAGCTTTTGCACAGTAAAAGAAACCAACAATGAAGAAATAGCCTATAGTATGGGAGAATTTTTTGCCAGCTCTTCAGAGATATAGATCAGATTAGATATAGAGGGGGCTGGGGATTTAGCTCAGCAGCATAAGCGCCTGCCTTGCAAGCAGGCAGTCGTGAGTTCAATCCCCGGTACCAATAAAAACAAAAAAGACAGATTAGATATATAGATTTTGCCAGCTATAATTTCGAATATATGAAGAACTCAAAATATTCAAATGTAAAGACCCCGTCCAAAAATGGGTATCTGAAATAAGATGCTTCTGAGGGAAAGAAGTAGGAATGGCAAATAAATATATGGAGAAATGTTCAATACCCTGGTCATTTGAGAGATGTCAGTTGGTGCCGAGATGCCATCTTGCTCCTGAAAGAATGAGAATTCAAGAAATCAATAACATGCTGGCAGGGCTGTGGGGAAAGAGGAGTATTTCACAGTTGGGAGTATAAACTGGTGCAACCACTGTGTAAATCAGTGAGGCAATTCCTTAAAGAACCAAAACTAAAATCCAACCCACCTCTTCCCTTTTTTGGTATCTCAAAAGAATTAAAAGCAGCATAACACAGCAATATATGCACACCCATGTTTATAATGGCACAGTTTGTTTACGCACTTTTTTCTTGCTTGAGACAGTTTCCAAGTTGGGCTGGACTCACTGAGTAGCCCAGGCTGACCTTGAACTTGCAGCAGTTCTGCTGCCTGAGCCTCCTGAGTGCTGGAATGACAGGCATGCACCACTGTGCCCTGCTATGGCAGCACATTTTGTAATAGCAAAATCTTAGAAACAGCCCAAATACCCATCAACCGATGAAAGGAAAAGGTGTGGTTTTTCCCTACAATGGAGTGCTACTCTGCCGTAAAGAAGGTTAAGCTTGAAATGTTTCTAGCCAAGTGGATGCACCTTGAAATCATATTAAGTGAAATAAAGCAGACACACATGTTTAAATATTAAGAAACTGAAAGTATAAGGACCAAAATGTGTGACAGATACTGGGAAATGAAAATGTTCAAATGGGAGAAGAAATGGGAGTGGGGAGGGGGAAAGGAAAGAAGGGACGAGAAAAAGGAAAAAACAAAGCTTTAGTAAATACAGCAGAGAAGACACATTGAAGGAAAGGGAAGGGAAAGGGGAAAAGATAACGGTGCTGGGACACATTTCCTACGATGGATGTTACGTCTTTCTAAAATGTGCCAGTAAAAAATGCAAAAAGAAAAAACTAAAAAAATCCAGGCTCAGCTTGTCTGTCCTAAGAGGAACAGACGCTGAGGAAATGATTCCCCAATACTGTACACGGCCAAGTCAGTTGGAAAGCACAAACATGAGGACCATTAGCTTTTCCCCACATTTGTTTCAGACACCTGTGCACGCAGCTTTCCAAATGTTTGGGATAAAAGCAATTATTTTGTAAATCTTTAGTAGGGCAGACGGTGACTGAAACAGAAGAATAAAGCAAACAAAATATCCCAGTGTGACTGAGAATTCCCACAGGCGACTTCACAGGGATTCAGGGAAGCCAGGCCAACCCAAAGGGCTGGGGTCAGCGAACTGCAAAGCCCCCGTGGTGCCAGTGCCCCTTGGTGGTGTATTCCAAGCCTCTGCCCTTGTTCAAACCTTTTTCACTTTACTGCGTTTTGCTGAGACAAGAGTTTCGTTGAATTGCTCAGGCTGGCCTCCAACTTTCTACCCTCCTGCCTCAGCCTTCAAAGTACCTGGGATTACAGGGGTGCACCGTGGCACCAGGCTGCATTTTGAAAGCCGGGCGGGGTGGGGGCTCAGAAGAAAAAGAACAAGCAGAAGTCATTGTATTACTAAGATTGGTTTATTTTGCTTCTGTATAAAGAGCACGGCTAAATAGATATAAACCTTATTGTGTTTCCTTCTGGTTGAATTAGAACCGCAGTAGCCTTTGGGGTGGCTGCGTGGCGGTGGCCGCAGCCGGAGGCCTTTGTTCACGTCCCCTGCTCGCCAGGCGTGAACACGGGGATCCGCTGTCCGTCCCCAAGCTCTAGCACCACTTCCTGAAGCGTCCACCTGAGAAAAGGCCTGCATGGAGTCTCCCCATCCACGACACTCGGCGCAAGGCAGGTCCAAGGGGAAAACATTAAAAAGCAGTAGGCAGGGCACTGCTTCAAGCTGATTTTAATTGTCACCTGGCCCAGTGCTGTGACAAGAGTGCCCGCCTGTTAATCAGGGCTGCCCTGGCCATGCCTGGCCGAAGTGCGAAGGGCAGCTTAGTTCCCGTTTCCTGGCTCCCAGGGACTTCAGCTCCTGGCCTGGTGCCCTGCAGCTCCCCACCAATCCTGGGCTCAGGGTCAGGGAGCCCCCGGGAGCTGGGAGAAGCCAGGGGAGGAGCTGCTGCTTTTGTCCTCGGGAATTCCAGCACATCCCTGCTAAATGGCAAACACTCCAGAGAGGCTTCCCATCCTGGGCTTGCAGGGGGGGTAGTGAGTGGCTGTAGCTATTGGCAACCAGACAAGAAAAGCCAATTAAGGGGGTGGAGGGCTTCTGCAGAGAATGCCCTGAATAACTGGAAACACACTCAATGCCTTTATTCATCTGTCTGGAGGGCGGCAGCAGAGGGAGAAGCCGGAACAGCATCCAGTCATCAGAACAGCATCCAGTCATGGAGACCTGGACCACTATAACTGTCAAGTGTCTCAGATTCCGCAGGATGAGGACAGCACAGTTCACGAGATTGTGCCGGATAAATCGTCTGCACTGAGCTAAAAGCTGAGCCCTGGCCAGCTGCCCAGCCACACAGACCTCTGCTTCAGGCTTTAGAGCTGATTCCTCTTATGACTGCGGTCACTTAATGACAGGTCCAAATGGGAACCAGCACTGTTTCCGTTGGACACACACATCCCCGGACCCCATCCCTCCCCTGTACCTCTTAAAGGGGGCGCTCCTGGTTGACCGAGTGAGGAGATGGCCCTTTGCCTTGGGCCCAGAGATGGGAATCTTCAGCTGTGGGGGTAAACAGACACAAGGGAGCGATGTCACCAGATACACTGTTGTCTCAAAAGATGTCAAAATGTGTTTTCTGGAGCCAAACCCACGACATCCAGGGATGAGCCAGGGTCTGGAAACTCCACCGAGTGTCCACACAGCCTTCTCAGGATCCTGGCGTGGTCAGCGGCTGTCTTTCCTCCTGATGAGGAGGCCTTGCAGCACGGGGCCGCCCTGGGAAAGATGCCGTGCACAGCAGGTAGGTGTCAGGCATCACACCGCCTCCCACTAAGGTCTAGATCCAGTGACACTGCTGGCAAAACACTGGGCAAAGGGCAGGCAGGGTGAACTGGGTGGGACAGAGGACCTGCAGGGGGCCTGGGTGGGTGGGACAGGCTGCGCCACTGGCACCTGTTAGAACTCACTGAGCAGGACGCGTGGCTGTGTGCCCTTCACAGAGCATTATTTTACCTCAAAAAACGTATTAACCTCTGGTTCATGACATACATGTATATGTGCAGAGAGGTGCAGGCATGTTGGAAGGTTAGTTTGTGATACATTTAGAGATTCATAAACACAGACACAGCCAGGTGAGGAGGCAGGGTGCTGTATGCAGGTCACAGTATAATGGTCTTTTCTGTTTGCAGTTTTCCATAATACAACGGAAAAGAACAAAGACCCAAAGTGCACTGTGAAAAGGGGTGTGGTCGTCTAGTGCTGTAAACCCAGCACTCTGAGAGCCTGAGGCAGGAGGCTGCAAGTTCAAATCCAACCTGGGTAAATTAGAAACTCAGTGAGACACTGTCTCAAAAATTTTTTTTAACAAAATGTTTTTTAAAGGACTGCAGATGTAGTTCAATCACTAGTTCTTTTGTGGTTGCTGTTTGTTTTTTGAGACAAGGTCTCACTGTGTGGCCCAGACTGGCCTGGCACGCGCAGTGATTCACCTGCCTCAGCTTCCCAAGTGCTGGGATCGCAGGGATTCACTACTATACCCAGCACTGGTGCCATTAGAAAAGCAACAAACAAAACAGGTGGATAACTGCTGCCAGCAAACTGGGACATATTTTGTTCTGGACCATAAGGAATAGGCTTTAAGGAAAAAGACAAAACAAAAACTGTGAGACCTCCATGTCCACGGGGTCTATATGTATGAACTCAACTAGCAAAGGATCAAAAATATTTTTAAAAATTGGCCTGTACACAGCTTCTTTTTCCTGTCATTTGCCCTATACAACACCAAGTGACAGTCACCAACGGGCATTTATGCCAGTGTCAGGCATCTGACCTCAGATGATTGGAGACTTTCAGGACGGGCATTTGGATGTCATTCGGATGTCTCACTGCAGGTGGCTTGGAGCACTGGAAGTACACGCATGACTGTCCCTTCTGGCAGCTTTTTGTTAAATTTATTTTTAAAAAGACCAATAAAAGGATGAGATCCATTCATAGGCCACCGGATGGGGCAGTCCAGTGTTCAAGCTGGCCAGAACATGTTAAAGTCAGTGGAAAGGTGCGCATGGGTTACTGTATATGCAAACACAACCAAGCCTTGAGCAAAAACAAGCTTGTGAAGGTGCCCTTATGAATGGACTTAATTTTGGAGGTTTGGAGGAGGAGTGATACTGGAGACGGAAACTGGGGCCTTTATTTTCCTTGATTTTTTCTTTTTTTGTTTTTTTGAGACAAGGTCTTGGTATGTATTCCATGCTGCCCTTTAACTCCTCCAGTATGCAGCCTAGGATGACCCCAAACTGCAGACAGCCCTCCTGTCCTCGCCTTCTGAGTGCTGGATTATACACATGAGCCACCATGCCAGGCTTTTTACAGGAGGAGGAGGGGTAGGAGGAAGGGAAGGGGAAAGAGAGGGAGAGTGGGGGAGGGGAAGAAGGGAGTCAGTGGGGAGGGCAGTTGTGGGGGGGGGGAGGGAGGAAGGAGGGAAGTCAATCAGAACATCTCTCTCTTGTCCTCAGAGCGCTTCCCAGGCTCACGCCCCCACAGAGCAAGGTCCAGCCTTGGGCTCTGCCAGCCTGGTCCTGCCTGGCCCACTGCTCCCCTGCAGGACCTCCAGGTGGGGACCATCCGCTCTGTAGCAGGTATGAGGTCTCACTGCTCAGGTGAGGCCACGGCTCGCCACAGCCTTGCTGGCCCCTGCCCTGGAGTGGAAGTTTGTCTCCTCAGCTCCCTCACTGTCCCCAGGCCTCCCATATCTGCACATCCCACGCATCGGGAGCTGCCTAAGCAATCAAATGAGTTTGATGAAACCAAACTATGCAAACGGACGAGACTCAGCAGAATGGGCTGGCTTCATGAAAGCCACATACACAAGCAAGCTTTGAAGGGCAAGGTAAAGGCCGGCTGTGTCTGCATGGGCACTGACTGGACAGACAGCCTTCATTCAGAGCTGCACGGTGGCCCATGCATTCCCCTGGTCATTCCCCAGCTTCAGTCCAATGGGACGGTGACACCACTGTGTTCCCTACCACATCCCTTCCCCACAAGGAAGAGAAAATCCGTGAAATGAGCCCCGGAGAACACGCACAGTTTTCTGCCTACTCAAACCCATCTTGAAAGGTGCTACACCGACAAGGAAGAGCACGTACCCGGGCGTCAGTGATGTCCACAAAGTGGTCCCTGCTGAGCATCGGCAGGTGGTGTACACGGAGGGGCGAGCCCAGCGCCTCCAGCGCCTCGGGGTGGCCATGCAGCTGCTCCAGCGCCATCTGGTAGTACTCGGTCCTGCTCAAGCCTTCTGAGAGGACACACGGGTTAGCACCGCTCCTTTACTGAACAGTGAGAGATACAACAGGAGCACCGGAAGACACAGCCATGGGAGTGGGAGAAGAGGAATCGGGGCTGCGGGGTCACGCTGGCGCCTGCCCTGCTGGCCGTTCTGACCTTTCTAAGCCCAGCTGCTTCATTGCCTGTCTCACTGTCTCCCTTCCCTTCTAGTAGGGGGTCTGGCCAGCTCTTCTTCAAGGCTCCTGCCATCTCTGAAGTCCTGTGTGTGAGTCTGTGACCAGCTCAGAGTCACAGCTGGCCCAAGTCCAGGGGGAGGGGCGGATCTGGGACAGCCAGCTCTAAACACAGCTGCTTCCACTCTGATGAGGAACAAAATAAGCCTGGTGAGGTGCCCGACACTGGTAATCCAAGCACTCTGGAGGCTGAGGCAGGAGAATCAGAAATTCCAACCCAGCCCGGGCAATTTACTAGTTAGAAAGACCCTGTCTCACAACAAGAGGCTGAGCGTGGTGGTGCACATCTGTGATCCCAGCACTTGGCAGACAGGCAGGAGGATCAGCCAACCTGGGTTTAGTGAGCTCATGGCAGCCAACTTCACAGTGACACCTTATGTCAAGAAAAGGAAAACAAAAGGGCTGGAGATGTCATTCAGTTCCGGGGCCTGGAGTTCAGTTCCCCTTATCAGGGGGTAAAGATGAGGCTCAAGCTATGGTACACCACAGCATCACCCACAGCAAAGCCCTCAGACCAACAAAGGCTGTGAAGGGCTCATTTGTGCTTGGGCAGAACTGCGCGGGTTCCCTGGAGTCCTTCTTAACCCGAAGGCCACCGGAGTCAGGTGAAAGCACCTCCCTGAGGGTTTCAGGCATGACAGCGGCTCCAGGGAGAGGACAAGGGCAGGTTTCCCCAGGAAGGACTGCTTTGGAGGAAGGAGAAAGGTATAAAGACTAGGGTAGCAGGAGACAAGGAAACCATGATCTTTAAATTACACTTGAAAGGAAACGGCTGCTTCAGGACACAATCAAGTTGCTCACGGCTTCAAAGTACTTTCACCCCGTTCTGCTTTTTCCCTTCTACACTACTGACTCTTAAATTCCCAGGAGTCTTAAAAAAATACTGACTAGTCTGTAAATTGGGTGGTACTTTTCTTTGAATAGTAAGGATTCCGATTCCCAATCTCCCTGGCTTCCACCCTCAAGGAAGCAGCATTGCTGATACACAGCTCTAACCTTCAAACACAGGCAGACACGGTGCATTCTAGCTGAACCTGTTAGGGGGAACTTGACCCACCAGGACATCCAAAGACAAATCAACAGACCAGAATGCACCTCAGTCCTGGGACCCATGCTCCTTTCTTTGACTGACTTGTTTGTTTGTTGAGACAGGTCTCAGTGTAGCTCAGGACTGAACTCACTATGTATCTGGAGCTAGCCATGAAAGCAGCATTGCTGATACACAGCTCTAACCTTCAAACACAGGCAAACACGGTGCATTCTAGCTGAACCTGCTAAGGGGAACCTGACCCACCAGAACATCTGTCTGTGTCTGTATGTCTGTGTGTATCCATGTGGCTGCAGGGGCAGGGGACGCTCCCCTGACTCCATTCATTGAATTTGGCAACAGGAAAGTGCTCCCCACTGCAGGGATGAGGTCAGCCTGGACAGGAGCTGCAGGTGTGACTACACCTGAGCTGGGATGAATCGGGAGGGCAGAGGCTGGCTCCAGAGAGCTGAGCTTTACTGCGTGATTTCCACGACAAGCCACTGATTGTTACTCCTCAATATGTCAACAGCTTTTGAGGAGTGATTAAAATATCCAGTGAATGTTTAAAGTTTTAAGATCCATTATAGTAAAAGACGCATTGCCATGAACCCCTGGAAATCCTCCCCCTCACTGCGAGCGCACTTAAGCCACCATTTCTGCCACCTTCCTTCCGAAGCTGCTCCAGGGGTCCTTCTGTGACAGGGTCTTCAGTCGCGTTATCGCCCCTGCCTTGATGTTCTGAATCACTTCCAACATTCCCTTTATGGTTATTGTGACTCTGGGACTTTGGTGAAGAGGAGGGGGGCACACAGTGCCAGATGCAGTGACTAAGGGGGAGGCAGACACGCCATCACGTGTCACAAGCCTGCCTCTCCATTGGGAGGCACTGGGCAGTGGCACTCCTCACAGTTTTCATCATGCCCAGTAAAGACACCAGCAAAAGAAGATGTCCAGCAGGCTGCCTGCAGCCCAGAACTTGGGAGACTGAGCAGGGGCACCGCTGAGAGCTCAAGGCCACCTGGGCTACACGTGAGACCCTGTCTCAAAAACCAAAACCAAAAAAAAATGGCAAGATGCACAAGTGTGTCAGAAGCAAGGGGGAGGATTCTGAGAGGGACTAATGGTGATGTGCCTTTTACTGTAATAATTTTTAAATTTAAATACCCTACATTCTGATACCATGTATGTGTGCGATTCAATTAATTCTCTCAGTAATGTTTCACACTGATATTAGCTCTTGTCACACAAGGAAGGTAAGTAAGGCCTAGAAAGGAGGACGGGGCTCCCTGCGAGGCAACACCCTGAGACAAGAGTTAGATCTGGGGCTCAAGCAGGGTAGGCGGCTGCAAGAGCCTGGATCTCACCACCAGCAGGGCTGCTGTGGCCGCCACCCTGCAAAGGGGAAGTGGCTGTTAGGCCAGAAGGCTGAGTGCAACCCGAAAGGGCACTGTCCCTGTGCTGTCCTCCCTTCACGGGGCTGAGCTGTGCTGCCCTCTGACTCAGCGCTGGGCACACTCATTTCATAGTCCACACTGGGATGCATGGGGGGCACACAGTGCCGCCTGCTAGTAACTGGAGGGAAGGATAATGCTGCTGCCCCAGGGCGAGCAGCCGAGCTGCGTGGAACAAAGGAGCCTCAAAAAACAGTGTAGAAAAAAGCTAAGGCTGCTTTGTCACTAGTGGCATTGAAATAACCTTCAGTGTCCTAGCTGCTGGTGCCCTGCCTTGGTAGATTCAAATTTGGGTGCAGCGTGGCTAGCAGCCATGTTTGCGTGGATTTTGCTTTTATTTTGTGCTCTTGTCAGAGTCCATTGCTCAAGGCTTAGTGGAATCCTCTTCCACTAAGGCCACAGTGGAGAATGGCAGGGCAAGCAGACTAATGACACCTGAGAAAGGGCCACTGTTTTCCCCATTTGTGACCATCTGGTACTCTCCACTTCCTTCTCTTTGTAAAATCTTGGATTCCCCACTCCCACCCTCTGGGGGACTGAACCAGGAGCCCTCACAGTGAACTAAATTCCCAGTCCTTCTTACTTTTTATTTTGAGGCAGGGTGTGCCCCTGGCTGGGCTCAAACTTGCAATTCTCCTGCCTCAGCCTCAGAGTGCTCAGATTACAGGCCTGAGGGCTAGAATCACAGAAATCTTGACAGAAACCCTGTGTGTGCAGGCCTAAAACCCAATCTTGCTTTGCAAGGCGTCTTATGCAAATGAGCCCTGGTCCTTGAATTGTACTCGTGGCTCTCGGAGAAACTGTGATTATAGGCTAAGGAGGAAACTTCCAGCAATGGAATGGCAGGCTGGCTTCTAAGATTGTCCTCTCCTCCTTTGTCTGATGTGCTGAAAGCATCTCAAGTATTTCCTCTGCTAGAGCCCGGGAGCTGGAAGAAGGCCTCCGGCAGCTGGGGGACACTTACTCTGTATGAGGTAATACACCAGGGGCCCGGTTCCTGCACACAGCACACTGGTGTAAAGAAGCACTCTTCTTGAAGGATCTTGCATGCTGCTTCTGGGAGATTTAAAAACAAAAGATACAGATTTATTACTGAGAGATTCAGTTTTGGGCCAAGGGCCTTTGCTTGGATCAGGTTGCGCAGGGAAAGCAGAGCTGAGGAGATGACCAGCGAGGCGGCAGAGACCGCCCTCCCTCGCCTGCTTCCTTCCCCAGTGCCATGGCGAATTCTGCAACCAAAGCAGTGCCCTCCAGCAGGTGCCCTTCCGAGGGTGGCTTGTGTCCAGGACCAGGCCGCAGGGGCCCTGCCAGCCCACTGGCCAAGCACAGAGGGAACATTCAGCCCACCGTCTTGACAGACAGAATGTGGCCTGTGTGCCAGACCCGGCACGGCCAGGAAGCATAGCCACTTTGTCTCTGGCCTGCTGGTAAACAGGAAGCCTAGTCTTCTGGGGCAAGAGCCTGTCTTGGAAGTCTGCAATGGGCTGGGGCTGTCACTGGCTTCTTTCTTCCATATTTTATAAAAAGGCCCCTCCCCCTGGGCAAGGAAACCTTCCTTGTAACTTTCAGGCTGAGCGAACAGATGGAGTGGTGCCAGCAAACCCCTCCGCCCTGGCCATGACCCACTTCCCGAAGGCCAGGTGGGGCCGGCACGGCAGATTCTCTTCCCACAGCCCTTTCACCCTGCTCATCCCATCTTGGGACTCTGCAGGGCTGGAAGGGGCATGGCCAGAAAACAGAGATAGACCATGGCAACAGTGGCACAAGACAGGTGGAAGCCACAATTCAAACCCCACAAAACCAGACAGGTCACATTAATGAGAGCAGCTACTGCGATGCAGTGTGGCCCACACAGGCAGGCCAAGGGGCCGTCGCCAGCCAACTGGGATGACAGTGGCCACTTCTGGAGAGGTACAGGAATCAGATCTTTTAGGTGAAACTGCCTGAAGTCTAAATGTTACAACCGCCAGTGGCACGACCATCAAAGACCTAACAAAACACAGTTGTGGGTGGAATCCTTTCCCTCAGAGCACCCTTACCCTAGGTGAGACCTAGGCAAATGACTGTCTGTCTCTGCGTGACATTGCTCCAAAAATAAGTGAGGTTTTGGCTGGAGGTGGGCACTGCAGCTTTAGAGAAAGGAGAAGGCCCCACAAAGACGCGTGTCCACCTTTTAAGACTGAACCTTAGAACTGATAAGGCTTTAAAAGACAAAGCCATGGAGGTGCCCTCCACAGTTAGAGGCCCTGCGCACAGAGCGGGGCCTGGCATGAGTTCCTTCTTGGTCGGGTCCACCAGGCAGGGGGAGCACAGCCTCAGTACGGCTCAATGCAGAGCACCGAGCACAGTGATGGGCACTTGCGCCCCCCTCCTGCAACCAGGAAGGTGGGTGAGCCCAGGGAAGTCCCGCTGGACCAAGTTCCTTGTAGTTAAGTACATTCATGGAGGGGCGACCCTTGACCAGTTCTGTACAGAAATATTAATTAAACAAGTTGCAGGGCATCTTTGTAATAGATACTTCTACACTGTCTTGTTCAGCTATTGAAAGGCTATGGAAACTAGGGAGCCTGGGCAGGCACTGCTGCTTAGCCCGAGGGGAATATGCTAGACTGTCACAGCAGTGCGGTCTGGGAAAGGCCAGTAGTCCTCAGAAAGAAACGTCAGAGCATCTCCCAAAGAATGCGTGAGTCAGATGGCTTCATCTGAAGGGAGCTCAGCAGGCGGGGCGGGGCGGCCGGGGTGAGGTAGCAGAGCCTCCCATAGTAGCTGCTATGGCTTCTAAAGCCAGCTTAGACGGCAGAAAAAAGGGCATCGGAAACAAGGCAGAAAAATCCACCCGTACCCCCTGTGCAGGTCTGGCTGCAGCAAATGCTAAGGAGCAGCAGACACCCACAGTGCCCACAGTGTCTGACAACTGCAGGCTCCAGTGGGGAGCTGGGTAGCAGAGCACCCCATTACCTTGCCACTTTGTAGCAGAACTGTCCTGAACATCCTCTAAGGACAGTTGTCCTGCAATCAGAAAAGATTTTACATTAAAACTATCGCTTTAAACCAGGCATGCTGGCACACATGGAGAGTGCTGGCACTTGGGAAGCTGAGACAGGAGCATCACTGCAAGTTCGAGGCAGTGACTTCAGTGCCAGCCTGAGCAAGACCTTGTCTCAACAACACCTCCCTCCAACACAGTAAAACAGTGGTTTTAAACACAGCTCTCTTGGGTTCTAGAGAGGTTTATTACTAGTCCAAGCCGTAGAACCTGAAAAAGAAGTTACATTTAAACTCTTAAGACAAACTTCGTTAAGGGCCCTGGTTTTCCCCTTTCTCTCCTGCCAAACTAAGAAGAAGAAACAAGGCCTGCTGGTTTCCTGTTTGTGTAGTATGCACCTCTGAGCGTCGCCAAGGGCGGTGGAGGGGCAGCAGGCGGCAGGTGCTGTGACCGCAGCAGCGGATGGGGTGGGCGTCAGCTGCGGCCACAGATGAGAGCCAGCTTCTCAGGGCTGGGGTGTAGCTCAGAGGGGTGGGGTACGCCTAGCAGTTGTGAGGCGCTGTGTTCTATGTCCAGCAACACACACACACGCACACGCACACGCACACACACTCGCAACCAAAAAACCAGCTTTTCAGGTTTATGAAGAAACAATGGCGCAGCGCAGCGAAACTACTGGTGGACGTGAATAATACCAGTAGTTTGAGCGCACACTTCCGCCTTTCACTGTTGCGTGCCTGGTGCTGTTCTCAGCACTTTACATAAAATAATTCATCTGCACAACCCCATGAAGTATGAACCATCATCACTCCATTTTTACACGAGTAAACTGAGGCACAGAGAAGCTGTTACAAGCTCAAACTCACACGAATCTGTATAAATGGCAGAACTGGGATTCAGACTCACTCTGGCTCCAAGGTCTGTTTCAACCACCAAGGTGCATTAAAATTTAAGAAGTCTGCTATAGAATAATGTAGAGAGGGGTAGTATCGCAACTCAAAATAATATGCTGTTTTTCACTAATTTTCGGGTAGTGCTAGAGCCAACCAGGGCCGCATGCGCGCAAGGCAAGCGCTCAGCCACTGCGTGCCCCGCGACCCCTCACAGTACCTTCCTCGTGCTCAGGGAGGAAGCCCGACAGCCAGCCTGCTGTCCCTCCCCACGGCTGTGCGTGCGTGGCACTTGTCGCTTTGTTCCCTCTGGTTTATGAAATGGTCACGAGGGCCCCGTCTGGTCAGAGGTGAGAATATGAAAATATCAAGAGACAACCACCCCTCGCTCCCGAGTGTAACACAGGCAATTAAATAGCTGCCACAGCGTCAGGGCCATCAACAACAGCCCTCGTGCTGCAGACCCTGGCGGGGTGCTGGACCAGGGCAGATGTTGTCATGACGCTGCCGCCAGAGCAGCGCGGGCAGCCGGAGCTCTGTGCGCTACCTGGAAGGTGTGAGCTGCCTTTAGTTCACACTGAGATGCCGGGGGCCACAGCACCGGGTTCCCGGGAACATATGGGAGCACCAAGAGAGGAAGTGCAACCCGGAAGTAGCCCGCAGAGGGTGCACAAACAGCAGAACACAGAGGCAGAGCAGGAGAGTGAGGGGCAGGAAGGGAGACAGGAAATGGGCCCGGAAGTGGTGGGGGCGGGGTGTTACTGCTGAGAAACAGCCTGTCCCCAGAGCTGCTGCACTGACTCACGGGACAGGGAGGGCCACAGACAACTAGGGAAGAGGCAGGACCAACCTGTTGCAGGACCAATGCAGAGGCCTCCATGACACAAAGCAAGGCAATGGCTAACTCTAGGGTGGCAACACCTAGGATGGAAACGATGGTTCTTAGAACAATTAGCACAGGTCTCATTTACAAATTTGTACAGTAGTTCATTCCCAAAACGACTATGGGGCTGACAAAGATACATCCTTCAGAAAAGAAGAAAACAGCCAGGTGTGGGGGTACATGCCTATAATCCCTACACTGAGAGGCTGAGGCAGGAGGGTTCCAAGTCTGAACCAGCCTAGGCAATTTAATAAGACCCTAGTGCAAAATTAAGAAAGCAAAAGGGCTGGGGAAGACTGTGGGTTTAATCTCCAGTATAGGAAGGAAGATGAGAAAGGGAAGGAGGAAGCAAAGGAGGGAGGGAGACAGGGAGAAAAAGAGAAGGGAGGAAGGGAGGAAGGAAATTCATGAGGGGATAAAGAGAAATGGAACATAACTTAAGAAAAGCTAGTCAGTTAAGGTTAGTGCACAAAGGTCCGTACTGTCATTCACAGGCATTTCCTGAAGGCACACCTGACACCAAGCACTCACAGCAGCAAGGGGGACCTGAGCAGCCCCTGCTGGGGGCCAGGTAGTGCCAGGGGCCATCGCTGTTTGGGGTAAACCCTGAGGCCTCTGAAAGACCTCTTCCTCAGATGCTCAGATGCTCAGAGGGGATTCTCTGCAGTGGCTGGTATTGCAAACAGCATCCTGAGAACTAAAAGCAAAATACAAAAAGGACTTTCAAAGGACTATGTTTTAGAACAGTCAGTAAGGAAGGCCATGGTAATAGCGCCAGCAGGAAAGAAAACCAAAAAATTCCCCTAAGTTTTACAAATGACTAAAAGGGTGAGGACTTGGTCTGAGGGCCCCAGTATGAACTTTTAGTGCAGAGCCAGCAATGCTGACCGCCTGGTGTACAAGAGTCCAAGTATCCCAGCTCAGATGGGCGACCAGGCAGGGAGGTCCAGCCCTTGCTCGGGTGGTGGGCTTGGCTTGGCTTGGCTTTGTTTTGTTTTGTTTTGTTTTGTTTTGTTTTGTTTTGTTTTGTTTGAGACGGGTTCTTCCTCTGTATGTAGAGCAGACTGACCCTGCATTTACTGTTTAGCGTAGGCTGGCCTTACTATGTAGCTAAGGAACTTGCAGCTGTCCTCCTGCCTCAGCCTCCCAAACACTAGGATTACAGGCATGTGCCACCTGGCCTGGCCTGGCTCCATTTGAACCAGCTTCAGAGTACCCGCCCCATTTGCTGTCTGTCAGAAAGGACCCTCCTACTCACATGCATAAAAATTAATGCACTGTAGAAACAGATTTTTAAGTTATCTCCAGTAATTAAATTTCTGCTAACAATTGAAAATTTAATAATCTGATGTTATATTTTCTTTAATAAACTCAGTTCATTTAGTCTACTGGGCTGCAAAGTGAGGGCAGATTTTGATTTATGATTAACCAAGAAGAGAGGCTTTAGTTTTGTTTTGTTTGCAGTACTAGGATTGAACCCCAGCTGTTAAGCTGAGGTACATCCCCCAGACCTTTGGTTTTTTATTTTGAGACAGAGCCTAAGTCATAATTGCCCAGGCAAGGCTCAAACTTGTCTCAACCTCCAGACGGCTGGAATAATAGGCCTCGGCCATGTGCCTGGCTGGTTACGTCCCCCTGCAAAATCCAAGGAACTTGCTAATCACCGGAGGGTGAAACAAAGTACAGGCCAAGGTCTCCCCAAAAAAGCAGTCCCAGCTGCGCTCTGATATGCAAAAGGGTTGCCTCAGCCTCCAGAGATAGTGGTTAGAAGCCACTTTCAAGACACCGAAGGCCTTTCTGAAGCTAGAGGACAGGATGTGAAACAGATGCCAGCTCAAGTGGGCACAGGCCGGGAGGCTCTCCAGCTGGCCTCCCTTGAGCCTGGAGGATGGAGGAAGCCCACAGGAAGCAGTGGGAGGGAAGAGGAGAAGGTGCAGCTTCAACCCGGATGTGCACTGAATAGCTGGAGGGATAAGAGACAGACAGACAGACAGACAGAGACAGAGAGAATGAATAGACGTCCAGGGTATATCCACACTAACAGAGTCTGTATGGGTGAAGCTCAAGCACTGATATTTTATGAATGTCCTTCAAGGTTCCTGACCTGCAGCTAAGCCTGGGACCAGGGTATCGGGAACAAGGTAAGTAAAGGGACACGGGGCCTGGGATCCTCTGACTAGAGAACAGAGCCTCGGCCTCCACCCTTGCTACACAAACTACCTGAGTCCATCACAGCTGGGCCATTTAGGGCTTGTGAGCAGACCCCACTTCTCTGGGGTGCTAGCACTGGATGAGAGGCCAGAGAAGCCAGCCACTCTCGGGGACGACATCTGCCATGGAAGCATCAAGGGAAGATCTGCCAACCTCCCAGGTGAAACCCTTGCGGAAGAGCAGGAGATCCTCCCGAGACGGCAGCCATCAGCCTTCCCAAGCCCATCTGAGAAGGAAGACGGGCCGCGCCACGGCTGAGAACCCCTGAGTCCCCTGAACTGGGATGCAGTCAGCGGTAGAGCGCTTCCCCAGCATGCACAGGACCTGGGTTCGCACACAAAAATGTAAAAGCCTTGATTTAAAGGAAGACGTTAACTGATAAAAACTAAGTATATTTATGAGGGACAATGTAATGTTTTAATATATGTAGGCATTGAGGAATGAATAGCTCAAGCTGACTGACATATCCATTGCTTCATGTACTTATTTTTTTGTGGTAGAAACACTTGAAATTCATTCATCAATTTTGAAGTAGACATTATTACTAACTACAATCAACACATTGAGCCATAGATCTCATTCTTCCTGTGTAATGAAACTGAAACTTTGTAAACTATAACAGACATCTCCTCATCCTCCCTTCCCCAACAATACTTAATTTTTAAGAGGCAATTTTCACTGGGTGGTACCCAGCTATATGTCCCAGTACTCAGGAGGCTGAGGCAGGAGTATCACTCCAAATTTAAGGCCAGTCTGGGCTACGTAGTGAGACCCGTCTCAAAAGAACAAAAAAAAAGAGGTCTATTTCTTACGCTGTACTATTTCTGAAAGTACACTCTGTCTTACAAGCTGAGCCTGTTTCCTAAGGTGACTCTTTCTCTAGCCCATCAGCCCCAGGTTGTTAAAACCAAGGTTTGTCTTATCAGTGCACTAGAAGCTGTATTCTCAGAAGGTGCCGCAGAAGCCGGGCCTGAAGCCAGCCAGGACATGGGCCGGTGACCTCCCTCAACAGGCCCACACACACATACACAGGGTTGGGCTTTCCCAGAGCTGGGCTCCCTCAGAGCAGACCTCCCCACAAACAGCCTTCGCATTGAACTCTCTTCCTCAGGACAGCAAGGAACAGGCCTGGCTCAGCCCACAGCCAGTGACTGCTGAGGGCAGGTCCCACGCGGGATGCTTCACATGCACGTTTCTCATGATACCCAAGACAGCGTCATATCACTGTCACCTTTTTCAAGCTACAGCTCCAGTGGTACCTCTGTCCTCGTCGTTAATTGGCCAGGAGCACAGTAAGCACCAAATGGTTGTTCTGGCTGCAAAAAGTAGCGAGCAGGAGGGAGGCAATGGACAGTGACAAGTGCTAGCTTGCGGGCAGAGCACCCAACAAATGACAAGAACCAGGACAAAAATGCTCATGTCGGGATGGGCTGAGCACCCATTCCATGCATTTCAAAGCAGTCGGCTACCAATGTCTGACTGAACATGGCTCGAGAAGCACCCCCAGGACAGAGCTGCGACAGGCACTGGTCTGACTCCAGAGGCCACACTCTTCCTGCTGAACCAGGAAACCCAGGTTACAGGGCGGGGAACTCTTGGACAATAACCGTCTCGTACAGCAGCCTGAGCGTCCAGAACCACTGCCACCTGTGGGAGGAAAAGCACTGCTACTCTGGGAAGCTGTCTGTTGTGCTGTTTTGTTTTGTACTGAGAACCGAACGTAGGCTCGTGCCAGGTAAGGGACCCACCACTGACCCACACTCTCAGCACTTTTTATTTCTTATTCTGAGACAAGGCCTTGCTACACTGCCAGGTTGGCGGCCTTCAATTTGTGATCATCCTGTCTCAAGTCTTCTGAGTAGCTGGGATCACAGGCCCCACCCACCATGGTTTTTGTTGTTGTTTTGATATAGGGTCTCACTACGCAGTTCAGGCTAGAGTTAAACCCACTATGTAGCCGAGGCTGGCCTCAAACTCTCAGCTTTCTTCCTGCCTCAGCCTTCTGAGTGCTGGGATTACACACATGGGCCACCACACCTGGCAGGAAACAGTTTTAATTAGGAAGTTATAATTTTGGAAGTTATAATATTTGGAAGTTATAATTTTGGAGAAAGAGTTAAAATCAATTTAGAAACCACTGGGAAGAAAAGGAGATGGTCCTTCCCCATGAGTTGCACGAACGCTGCCTGCTGGTACCTTAGGAGTCTGTATCCTCCTGGCCTTTAAATTCAAACCATGGGGGTATGGAGGTTATGCTTAAGAAAATAGGGCTGAAGACATTTATAGCAGCTGAAACTAACATGAAAATGGGTGAGTAACAAGGAACAAATAAAACCTTAATAGTGATTTAAAACCTGGCATGTAAGAGGGAAAAAGGTATGAATGGCAAAAATAAATAAAACATGAGTAAATCTTTTAAAGGGATGTGATGCCTCAAATTTAAGGAGCACAAAAGACTAAACCTGCCAAGTGTGATGTAATCCCAGCACTCCAGAGGAGGCTATAATCTCAGCACTCCAGAGGCTGAGGCAGGAGGATCTTTGTGAGGTGTGGCCGGCCGTGGCTACAGAGTGAGGTCAAGACCAGCCTGCACTACAAAGCAAGAACCTATCTCACATAAATAAATAAAAGCATGCAAGTAAACATTGAAGGAAATAAGGAAAAGAAAAAGAAAAATGATGACTAAGATCTGGCTGTTAAATGGGCCAGATATGATGGGACAAGCCTATAATCCCAGCACTCAGGAGGCTGAGGCAGCAGGATCACTATGAGTTAGAGACCAGCCCGGGCTACAAAGTGAGCTCAAGGCCAGCCTGAACTACATAGCCAACCTGCTCTCAAAAAGAAAACTTATAAGAAATTAAACATTTTAAAAATTAAGCATAAAAATGTTCATGTAGGGCACGGAACTGACACACACCTGTAATCCCAGGTCTTTGGGAGGCTGAAGTAGGAGGATCTGAAATTTCAAGAGGAGGCTGCAATGTGTCTCAAAATTTTCAAAAGGGATTGGTAGCGATGCATGGTGGCACACTTCTGCAGTCCCAGCTGTCTGACAGTCTGAGGCAGAAAGATGTAAGTTCAAACCCAGCCTGGCAATTTAGTGATTTAGCAAGGTCTTGTCCAAAATAAAAAACAAAAAGGGGTGGGTGTGTGGCTGAGTAAAGGGCCTGGGTTCAATCTCCAGTTTCATGAAAGGAAGAAAGAACAAAAGAACGAATGAAAGGAAGAAAAAGAAAGGGAGACGGAAGTAGGGGCCTGCGTATATAGCTCAGTGCTAAAGTGCTTGTCTAGCATGGCCCTAGGTTCAATCTCCTGCACACCTCTCCTCCACCCAAAAAAAAAAAGAAGAAAGAAAAGAGAGAAAAAAAAAAGGTGCAGGCATGGCTCTCCTAAAAATTCCAAAGGAAAATCTTCAGTCAGCCCTCGCCTTTCATTCCCAGCTCAGGTTAATCATGAGGCAAGCTCTCTGCAGCCAGAGCACCAAGGTCACTGAAAGCTGATCGGCACCCTGGGTGCTTGACAGTGAACCCACAGAGAGGTAACACCTTGAGAGAGGTTCTCTGTGCCAACAGGGAGGCAGTTTAAAAGTTAAAAAAATATAAGACAAGGAAAAATTGCCATCTACTTTAAGAGGGCACCAGGCTACTACTAAGTGATATGCTTTCATGAATTCAATTTAACACAGGATCAAGACAACAAGGGAAGGGAATAAAAGGATCTCCATGGAGCACATGCACCAGTTCCTCACAGTGAGAAGTCTAAACGCAACTCACAGTGTCAGTGAAGCACAGAAGCCGGCCTCGGACAGGAGACGGCACAGGTGCCAGGAAGCTGTGTGGGCAGAAAGCCCGGCTTGGCCTCCCCGCCCTCTGCTGCTGGGAGTCACGGGTTGGCAGCAGCAGCGGGAGCAGAGAGGAAAGCCTGGCAGGGGCGCAATGCTGACTCACTCCGAGGAACACGGAGAGGATCAGACGGTGGCCACGGAACAGGCCGGAGAAGGTGGCCACGGAACAGCCAGGTGCAGGGGGAATAAGGAAGGGTGCACCGAGCAGGAGAGACCTCAGGGAGACTAACGCAGAGAGAGCTAGCTCGGGGCAAGAGCCCACTGCAGCGAGGAAGTGGCACGGAGAAGTTTCCCACGGTGCAGAATTAACAAAACCACAAGTGCAGTGTGAGAAAATGGCAAACACAGATCCGGACCGCGGGTCTAACCAAGACCCTTGGGACTGCTGTTAAAGAAGCTAGAGCAAATGGAACAAGAGATGAAACTGGACAGTTACAAAACGACAAAAGTCATTTCTTCACAACAGTGATAATGATATTCGCTGACACTCCCTGGTAAAAATTTTACAGCATCAGTTCTTCAAAAGGCAGAGACTCAGCAAAGAATTGTACATTAGAGGAGACTTGGATTTTGCTGCAACAACAAATTCCTGCCCTCGTGGAATAATAACTACACCAGGAATTGAATTCGGGACCTTGTGCTTGCCAGGCAGGTGCCATGCCACTGAGCCCCTTTAAATATTCTAAGAAACAAAGAAAAGTCTATACCCAGCTGTGAAGACAAGAGGAAGATATAAATTTGAACAAATAGTGTAGATATTACATAATCTACACTACTGTCTTCAAAATACTAGTTGCAGGTATACTGCATATTATCAAAAAATAAACCCAAATTTCTTGAAAAAATGGTATATTAAGACTACAGCATGCATTAAGGTCAAACTGCCAGGTGTGATTGTGCATGCCTGTAATTCCAGCACTAAGGAGGTTGAGGCAGGAGGATTGCTAAGAGTTCCAGTCAGGAGTGGGGCACACAGTGAGTTCAAAGCCAGCCTGAACTATGTAATGAAACCTTGTCTCAAAATACCCCAAAATTAAAAATAAATAAATAAGTAAAAGGCCAACCTAATTTAATTAGAACTAAATAATTACAGCTTACAAAATGACTGAAAATATCTAGTTCTTTAAAAAAGTGATACACCATTTTTAAATTTATAATATTAATAATATATTTAAATATAAAATGTAAAAGAGGAAATAAAATCATGCCAAAGGCATCTTTTATGATGATTAAGATAAAGGTACTTCTGGTCTTCATGCTGACAGAGAAAGTGATCAAATCAAAAACTTGACGCAAACTCTTTAAATGAAATACAAGCAAATCAACCTAAGCCAAAAGAACAATTTCCCCTCAGCCAGAAACAATAACCGTACAGGCTTTACACTCCCTGCGATGGTAAGCAAGAGCCGCATTTCCTGACCCTGCACACTCATCGTGAATGTGGGCTGGCCTGGTGACTCACTTCCACCCCAGGAGCACGAGACAGGGTAACACTGTGACCATGTCACACCTCAGCCTTAGGGAGGCCTGGAGTTTCTGCAGAACCCTAAGCTGCCACATGAGAAGTATGGTTACCCTGCTGAAGGGACCCCTTTTGTTCTTTTCTGTTTTTGTGGTCCTGGGAATTGAATCTTAAACTAGAGCCATACCACCATGACCTTATATCCCGTCCTTTTTTTCATTCTTTGGTGTGAGTGGCCAGGCTGGTCTTGGATTTGTGCTCCTCCTGACTCAGTCTCTTGAGTACCTGAGACTGTAAGCATGCACCACTGAATGAGGCTGGAGAGACACTTTTAAGAGGCTGTGTAAGAGCGTGAGGCAACTCCACAGAGACCCCAGTGTTCTAACAGTCCTCCTGGGTCCAGGGAGCCCTACCATGCACTGGTCATGTGAGTGAGGCACCAGAGGACTGCAGGACACAGAATATCCACAGGGAAAAAGGACCATCCACCTGCACCAGGTAACCTACAGAACCATGGGACAGCAAGATGAATCCAGCTTTGTATGCAGCAACAGAAAGAGAGAGACAGTCTTTCAAGAGTATTGCTGAAATGATTAAAAGACCTCTCAAATACTTGCTATTTAATAAATCAATTAAGATGCAAAGACTAAGAAACAGAAGTCATAGTCAATACAAAGCAAGGTGGAAATATTTCAAGTGGAGACTTCAGGGCAAAAGCACTGAATTGGGACAAAGGTAGAAAAATATGATAGTTAGGAGTATTAATAACAGCATTATCTCAAAATATATACACAAAGCCAACAATACTAGAGATGTAAGAAAAACAGGCCTGGAGTACAGTGTGCTGGCAGAATACATGCTTAGGATGCATAATGGCCTGGGTTCAGCTCCCAGCACTCAGAGAATAGCAGGAAAAGGAAGGAAGGAAGGACAGCAGTGAGGAGGGACCACAAGGGGATAAAAGGGAGACCAGCTGGGCACGGCATGGCCCTGAACACCTGTAGTCCCAGCACTCCAGAGGCTGAAGGAGGAGGATCGCTGCAAGTTCAAGGCCGGCCTGGGCTGCGTAGTGAGCTCAAGGGCAGTTTAAATAGCAAGACCCTGTCTGAAAAAAAAAAGAATATCAACAAGTCACCGCCTATCTTTTTTTTCTCCTGAGGTGATGCTGGCCTTGAACTCATGATCCTCCTGCATCAGCTTCCCGAGCAGCTGGGTTACAAGGGACTGGCTCATTTTGTATCGTTAACAAATCCCATCAACAAAACAATGAGAACAGAGCCTCTCTGGTCATATCCGTCCCAAAAGCTGTGTGAGACCGACATACAGTTTCTCCTTTCCCATGGCCCAGTCCTGTGAATACTTTCCATAAGATAACTCTGGGTCATTCCTTAAGAGGGCAGATCAAGTGTAAAGTACACAGCAACTTGTGGAAATTCTTCTCATATTATTCCAAGTAGCCTTCTATTTGCCTTAATTTTGATAATATGGTAAAAAATAAAAATAAAAACCACCTGAAACTGCAGCCAGGCATGGTGGCACACACCTGTAATCCCAGCACTCAGGAGGCCGAGGCAAGTGTTGCTTCAAGTCCAGGGTTCAGAATGAGTTCAAGGCCAACTGAACTGCATTGCAAAACTGTCTCACAAAGATGAAAGAAAGAAAAGAAAAGAAGAGAAATTAAGCTTTTGAATTAGAATTTGGAAGCAGATGTGGGACTGCATGCCTGTAATCTCAGCACTCAGGAGGCTGAGGCAGGAGGATTGTTGTGGGTTTAAGGATAGCCTGGACTACACAGTGAGTTTAAAACTAGCCTTAATTATACAGCAAGACTCCGTCTCAAATAAAAGCAGAAAATTAGAAATTTTAAATTAGAAGTTGTAAGAAATCCTATCAATTTAATACCATATTCAATAATAGTACAGCAAAATACAAATCTTAGCAGTTGTAACCCACCAACACAAATTTGTCCAATGCATCCAAAATGCCAGCTGCCACGTTAGGCCCTGGAAATACAGTGGAGAATGAAAGACACAGGTCCTTTTCAGGTTTGCACTATAGTGCAAGATAAATATTAAAATCATTTTAGTTAGTGATAGACACTTTTCAAGGTCAGCCTCAACCAGAGAGAGAGACTCTGTCTCAAAAACTGAAAAAACAGTGTCCCAACATGGTGGTGAGGGTTGTTGGCAGCTCAAGCTTCTCCAGGGCAAAGTGCCTAGGAAGAGGCACTGAAGGGAGTGGAGGCTACCCAGGAACCATGGGGAACTGGCCGAGGAGAAGAAAACAGGGTTAAGAGATACAGAAGAAACAGATCGCACAGGAGAGACCATGCAGTGCCACTGAGGGCTGCGAGGGAAAGTGAAGCTCACAATTCCTGCGATGGAGAACCAGAGAACTGCAAGGAAAACGCGGGACACTGCTTCCAGAGCAGCCCTCCAGCCCACAGCCACAGTCAAGAGCAAGAGTCCGCGTGTCGCCATGCAAAAGTGCTGAGTGTTGGAACCGCCTCGGCAGCCCAGTGATTGCTTCATACTGTGCAGGGTCCCAGAAAGGATGCGTGCAGGGCAGACCTGGGAGGCTGGCGGCTGCAGGAGAGCAGCCTGGGGAGGGTCCAGCAGAGAGGCAAGGCCCCTGCTCTCAGAGACCAGGTTCCCCCTGAGGCTCCTGTTCCCGGAGGAAGCAGATCTCCCAGCGGCATCCTGGGGGCAGCCTGTCACCTTAGCCAGTGTGAACAACAAAGACACAACCTGGCCTCAGCCCTGCTCCTTAACTCTAGGCCGAGGAAAGGAGCCACACGCCCAAAGCAACAGAAAACTTTCTTTTATTAGTCTTTATTTGACGATTATTTCTTCGTTTTTATTTTACCTTTAATTGTGATAAAAATGTAATTTGAGTATGTCAAATCTCAAAGTTAATATGTAAAATAAAATTAAACATCTGTAAAAGTGTGTTAGTATCCATAGTAAATTATTAAATCCACATACTAAATGAAATTTGATTTTTTTTTTGTGATGGGGATCAAACTCATGACCTCACATTTGCTAAGCAGACACTTAAGCCACAGAGCTAAACCCCCATGAAATTTGATTTTTTTCTAAACTACCTTTTCTTAGGATCAAATAACATGCAAATTTTAATTCCTTTAAGGTCTAATTCTACACTTACTTCTCACCAATACTATAAAACACATTGACATAGTTAAGTAATAAATGTGAATACTCTCCAGAAACTAAAGAAATTCTGTGACATCACATGCTAAAATATAGAAATAGAGAAGTGATTTTAGTTTAGGTGATATGGAGAAAGCCTCTCTGCTAAAATGAAATCTGAGCTGAGACTAAAAGAATCATGGGGAACCTGGGCAAGAACACGGGCTCCACACTTCAGGGAGCAGGAAGCGGGCTCATGAGGAAGGGGGGAAATGCCAGCAGGCAAGGGGCGGGTCCCCATGGTGCAGGTCTCTGTAGGGTGCAGTGGGCAGCCTGGATTTTATTCCAAGTGTCATGAGAAGATACTAAACACAGGTTCACTCAGGGAATGACATAGCCTACCATTTTCTAAAAAGATTTCTCTAGAAAAGAAAAGAAGAAAGGCAGCACATTCAGCTAACTGTTCTCACAGTGCCCTGAGGCAGAACTCAGTGGTGGCTTGGACTTGCTGGTAGCCATGGAGACACAAAGAAGTAAACAGACTCGAGATGGGAAGCAGAACTACCAAGACTTGTTGATGACTTAGAGTGAAGGAAGGGTAAGGACAAAGCACGAGGCAGAGTAATTTCACAGAGTTCATAAATGTCCTTAAAGCTCCTTAAAAACTTTTGAGGCCTCAGGCTGGGGTGAAGTGCAGTGGAAGAGTTCTTGCCTACCACAGCAAGGCCCTGGGTTTGATCTCTAGAACTGCAAAATGGCAACAGCGAAACAGCACTCAAAATTATCACTATGCAGTTGGATTTGCTTTGTTACTGATTTTGTTGTTTGGCTTTGGGGTTTATTTTGCTTTGCTTTGCTTTATTGGTACAGGGGAGTGAACCCCTTCTCTCTACCGCTGAGCTATATTCCCAGCCCTTTTAATTATTTTGAGATGGGGTGTTGCTAACTTGCCAAGGCTGGCCTCCAACTTGCAATTTTCCTGCCTCGGCCTCCGGAGTAGCTGGGAGGATAGGCTTCCTTCCTCCACCTGCACCCCTCCAGGCCAGCTGTAATTTAGTGATCAAGGGTCTTGGTGGAAACTACAGTTTCTAAATCTGATCGGTCATGACTTCTAGTAGTTTGAAAATGTGCATGTCAAGGCCATTATTTTGTTGCTTTCAAGACACAGCAGTAGGCTATTCAGTGCTTCTGGACATCAAAAAGCTCATATAATAGACTCCGATCCATAACCATTTAGAATATGAGACCCCACTAAACATTAACTTCAGTCTATTAAAAGCTTCTGTTTTAGAAAAATTAAGTACTGTCTTTAGGAAAATAAACAAATTGGTATCAGTGATTAGGAATGGAATCTGGAAGGTACAAACTACTTAGGCTGACTGCCTCTCCAAACCTGCCACCCTCCGTTTGCCTCTTGACACCTGGCAAAACTGTGGCTTGCTTGGGCCAGTGAAGAGGACTTGTCATGGGCCACATATAAAATCTATAATATAGGTAATGTAAGTAACAAAATTTCCTTTATTTTTAATGTTTTTACATTTTTAAAAAGAAGCCCACGTAAACACAAAGCTAGCAGAATATCTGACCTTATTTTGTGAAACTAACACATCAATGTGAAGTTCTATTGTCGTCTACACAGTCTACGCAATCAAGTTAAAAATCATATCACAAGGGCCAGGGATTCAGCTCAGTGGCATAAGTACTGCCTGGCAAGTGTGAGGTCATACTGTTAAAGTTTACGATCCACAGTCTTCATTGTCCCGTGGGCCTGTGGATTAGATACACCTGCTTTAGGAAATTACTACTCAACTGGGCTTTAATGTGGTATCAAAGAAGAAAACCCAGAATTATCTGAAAAGGGTTATTACACTCCTCCCTTTTTTATCCTTATGTCTATTTGAGGAAAGACTTTTCTTCATATAAATCACCCAAAAGAATATACAGCAACAGACTGAATGCAGAAATAGGTATGAGTATCTTATTGTCTTCTTTGAAGCCAGATGTTAAAGAATTTTGCAATAAAGTAATGCTACTCAGTCTTAAAATTTCTCATAAAAATACTTGTGTCAATATTACATGAATTAATTTTAACAAATTATTTTTTTAAATTCTAATATAGTAATATCAAGAAACATAGCCACTGTAAAGGCAATAAAATGGGACCCACCCTGAGAACAGAAAGTCTGAGAACTGCTCATTTTCCAAATATTCACCACAATGCATACACGTGCTGGACACAGTACAGCCTGTAATTCCCCTACTCAAGAAGCCAAGGCAAGAAGATCACAAGTTCAGGGCAACACAGGCAATTTTGTGAGACTATCTCAAGTAAAAAGGGCTGGGGTTGTGGCACAGTCGTAGAGCTCACAAATGAATGCTAACAGCATGTTATTTAAAATAGTTCCCAAATCAAAATGTCCAGCAACAATGGAATAGAAAACAACAACAGAAAACAACTTTTGTACATTTATACAATAAAACACAGCAATGAAAACAAACCAGGAGGATAAAACTTAAAAACACAGTAATGGGCCAGTGAAGACTGGATGCCAGATACTGCATGGACACTGGACAGTCCTCTGCACATCAGTGTTCTTTCTTCTCTGTAGTTCTTTTTTTATTGTGGCAAAAACATGCTAACATGACATTTGTCATCTTAACTATTCTAAGTGTTCTAACTACTCTGTTAGTAATGTATTCATGTACAGATTTGCAACAGACCTCCAGAACCTTTACAGAATTAAAGCTCTGTACCATTAAGCAACTCGCCACTTCCCCTTTCCTCTAACTCACAATGCTTTCTGTTCCTATGAATCTGACTTCTTTAAAAGCTACTTCAAGAAAGCGGAATTATTCAGCATTTGTCATTTTGATGACTTACTTCACTTCACATAGTATACTCAAGGTTCATTCACACTGTAGCATGTGAAAAGATCTCCTTCCTTTTTAAGGCCCAATAATCTGTTAAAAATAATAATAATAAAGCCAGGTACAGTGGTACCCGCCTGTCATCCCAGCCCTCTGAGAAGGGAAGACAGGAAGCTTGCAAATTGGAGCCCAGCCTGGGTGACTTAGCAAAAGACCATCTCAGAATGAAAGAAGTGGAGGTATAGCCCAGCGGGAAGCCCCGAGAGTCCAATCCCCAACACCACTGCCACCGAAAATCAAAACAAAATTTAAACAAATAAGATTATGGCGTTGTAAATCAGAATGATAGTAACCTTTGCAGAGTAACTACTGAAAAGATAGTGCCTGGACACAAAGAAAAAGGGCTTCTGGATTGTTCATGTGTCATTTGCTCTGTGTGGTGATCACAGAAGCATGTCACTTTGTGGTAACTCACCAAACAGTAAAATTATTGTTTTTTGTATTTTTTACTATAGTTCAGTTTTAAAAATCGTAGACTAGGGATATATTTTAGCAGTACAGTGCCTTCCCAGCAAGTACGAAGTCATGAGTTTGATTCCTGGTACTAAAATAAAATAACATAAAAATAAAATGGTAAGACAGGTCATATATTTGCAATGTGTGCAGTCACAATGAACCCCGACTGTCTTACTTCTGGTTTTAAGTGGTTGCTCCATGCACGCACCCTCTAGAATACCTTTGCATCTTGAACCTGAGTAAAGCAGCATTATACTTGGTGTTGCATCCAAAATCTATCAAAAGAGCATGAAGTTCAGATGAAACTATTGCCATTAACTTTTTTAAAGATTAAATTAGTCTTTTTGGTGGGGAGGAAGTTTGGTGGGAACTGAACTCAGGCATTTGCTCTTAACACTGAGCTATATCTCCAACCCCAATTTGGTTTTAAATCTAAATTCAAAATTTTTCTTTAAGCTAGGTGTGGTGGCACAGGCCTATAAACCCAGTACTCAGGAGGCTGAGGCAGGAGAATTCCTGTGTGTTCCAGGCCAGCCTGGGCTACATAGTGAGTTCAAGGCCAGCCTGAATTATATGATGTGAGACCCCATCTGGGGGGGAAAAAAAGACTTCTATTTAGTATTCTAGCAAAAAAGGGTGTTGGCTAGATGAAAATAATGCTACTGCTAAAGAATTCAATTCATGGGAGTTATCAAGTCTACAAGGAAAGTCTGCTAATTCAAAGAGGGAAGAAATTCAGTCAATGAAAGGAAGGTGTGAAGGGAAAGCAGAGGAGTCTGCAGGAGGAAAGTCCTCCCGAGTCTCCTGTACGCACAGGTACTGTGAGTGTCTTCAAGGGGAGGGCCTGGGAACTGGTAATACCAGCTACCCACTATTTAAATCCAGGGAGTCTAGATTTAGAAGACAAAGCTGCATGCTCGGGAATGTGAATGTTTAGCAAATGCTCCAGGACACATCTGTATTTCTGGCCAGCTCTTAACCACCATATGGAGGTCCATCTGGGTGAGGCAGTTTATTCAAGAATTAGATGAGACAAGCTCGCAGTGAGGGTAAGACGTTACAAGAGCCAGAGGAGAGGAAAAGTGATAAGATGAAGCAGGCCTTTGGTGGCACCTGTATTCCTGCCTCTGCATCTGTGTCACGGATACGTCCAAGAGCCAGTGTTCAGGGCTGGGGATGCAGCTTAGAGGCCCAATGTGGGAGGCACTGATTTCAACCTCCGGTACAGGAGAGTGGGAAACAGTGTTCTAAAGGTAAAGAGAGCACGTCTTTCATCCACAAACTCACTGCGTTCTGAGCCACAGTTTTATGTCTAACAAGGGTGTATTTCTACTTTCCTGTTATACTCTCACTTTCTCACATACGACAGTGTTTCCATTTGAAACCTAACCCGAGATGTCAAAGTAATGGGG